GGGGGGGGGGGCAGGAATTTCGAACAGGGGCGCCAGCAACGCTGACACGGAGGAATCGACATAACAACCGCAGCATCCCTCGTAAATTTTTACAACGCCGTTCACAATGTACAAACCTGGTCAGAAAAGAATCCAACCTCTCCTCGGTCCCCTCCCTCCTTTCTTTTCTTTCTTTTTCTCTCTCTTTCTTTTTCATTCTCATTCTCACTCAGCTTTCCGAGTATCACGAAAACACGTCGGTGTCAAGGCGTTGAGATCGCAAGGAAAGAAGGGAGCGACCGAAAAAGGAGAATGAAGTGGCGAGCATTGATAGAGAAAGGGAGAGAGAGAGAAAGAGAGAGAGAGAGAGAGAGAGAGGAACGGAGTGGCGAACTTGAGCGGAGAGACGGGATCGGAGCGCGCAAGAGAGCAGGAGAGATAAAGAAAGAGAAAAAAAGATGAAAAAAAAAGAGAAAGAGAGACAGAAGCACACTGTTGTCGCATCATATCGCTCTCGCGAGTATACGGGGTCAGAGGAAAAGAGGGACAAACATACCGCGAGTAGAGTGGCAGCGGCGAAGCACGAGAGAAAGAAAGATGAAAAAAAAAAGAGAAAGAGAGACAGAAGCACACTGTTGTCGCATCATATCGCTCTCGCGAGTATACGGGGTCAGAGGAAAAGAGGGACAAACATACCGCGAGTAGAGTGGCAGCGGCGAAGCACGGGGAGAAAGAGCGGATGACTGGTAGCGGAGGCTGCGGAAAAGGCGAGGGGACAAGGGGAGAGGGAGGGAGGGAGGCAAAGCGGGAACCGCGGGGAGACTCATGGTTCACCTGTCGTCATGGCAACGCCGCTTCGCCGCTCACTTGTTACTCCATCGGCATAGCTCGGCCCTCGGCGGCGGTCCTCTCGCAGCCTCCGCAGGAATACGAACGCGAGTCACGATCCATCGCGTGGGACAGAGAGCGAGACGACGCCTCTCCACTCCGGGGCGAGCGTTCCGCGCTTGGCGCGATCTCTCCTGCCTGTGTTTGAGGATCGCGGCGAATTCTCTCCTTTTCTGACGGCAAGGGCGAAAAAAATAAAGTTGCGCGAGAGGCACGATATATACCCTCTCTTGCGTTTCACCACTACAATATGCACTGTAGATATTATCACACATACAGAACACACACTCCACGAGATGTATATATTATGTGTGTACGTGTATATACAGATTTATATATACTCTCGTCCTTCTCTCTCGAACCCCGTTGTTCCCTCGTTTACCCGCGCGAAGAAACGTAGAATTTAAACGTATCACAGAAAAGCGGAGGCGCGGGGAAGAAGCGAACAACATTCACCCTCTCCTTCCTTCGATTCGTTTTACTCGCTTGTCCTCCCGCCACGTACTTAAGCCGAAGTCATTCTTCTATTTTAAGCTCCACACTTGCCTCGTTCGCGTCGTATCCTCTATCTCTCCCTCCTCCTGGTACCGCGAACCAGTCGTATGTACGAAGAGATATTCACACACTCACCCACATACGGATCCGCGCGCAAGATCGCTCGCGAGTTCTCGCGCTACACATGAGAAGAGAGAAAGAGCGCCAGCGACTTCTCCTCTTCTCATTATCCACTTACTAGGTACGAGCGCGACAATCTGTTTGCTATGCAAATCACGTCTGACCGGTGCTGACGTAGACCGGCGGCGTCGGCGGCGGCGACAACGAAGGCGAGTGACAGCTCCGGATCGACTCCGTGTCGACGGCGAGTATCTCTCGCTAATGCACTCGGCCGCGCGCGGTTAGTCATTGCCCGTTGTCGAGTCCGTCGACGAGCGACATACGTAGAAAAGTGTAATCGGCCACCGCGCAGCGCGATTCCACAGGATCTCCTTACCCCCACCGTGAGCACGACACGAGCAAACTGCACACCGTCACACCGCGACTACCGCGTGGTCTCCACCACTACCATTACACACCGCGACTATCATCGTCGGCGATCGCGGTAACTTCGAGCGTGTTGTGTCGTGTCGTGTCGGTGCGTAAACGCACCGCGGCGAGAAACTCCGACCGCGAATTCCCCCGACAGCGGCCTCACTCGTCCGGTGACGTCATTGGCGCCTAAACGCCAAGTCGTCGCGAGTGGCGACGGGGTTCCCCGCGCGTCTCTCCTCCCCCGAGTGAGATCGGTAGCGGCTTCCCTCCGGTCGATCTATCGTATCGACACGATGCAGCGACCTCGTTATTGCCGATCGTATTTTGTCGGCGAAACCGGGACTGTATATAGTATTGGAGTTTATTCGACCGACAATACGACGCGTTGACGTTTCATCGGTTTGCCAACCAATACTATCGACGATCGACGATAGCTTCTTTCGATCACCTTGCCTTGTGATTTTTACAAGTAAACGTTATTTTCTCTTCGTTTCCGTGCAACGATGATCGCTAAAAATTCTTCCTTGGCTGTCCTCGTGGCCGCTCGTACTCGCCGCGTTGTAACTCGCTCCATTCATTAATTGGTGGAGGAGACGAATGTTGACTTGATCCAGGTTCCAAAATTTCTCATTGATCTTTCGCGCTGGTTGACACCTCCGGCATATCTTGCATCGAGTGTGACATTCACGAATTCACTCCCGCTTCGCAATTTCTTCGGTATACCGATTTCTTCTTACTAAAACAATCGACCACACTGCGTTTTTCAATTTTACGACTTTCCCTCGTGAAACGACAGATATCCGAAGTCACGCTTTCCCGCTTCCGATCGCGCCTCGATCGCGATCGATCGAGATTCTCTTCGCGAAATCTTTTCGTTCTCGAAATTTCGCAATCACGCACCTTTCGCACTTTCCACACTCACATCGCTTCTCTAAATCGTGCTCGATATCCGCGCGCAAAGCTTCCTCGCTTCTTTCCCCTTCCGATTTCAGGTCACTCCCGGCGGCGTCGTCTTCGGTCGAGATCTCTCGCTCTCGCCCGAGAGTTAAAGAATAATCCACGCGCGTACGATTTTTCACGCGATGATCGCCGTTCTTTTTAACGCTTCTTTCTTTGTCTTTCCACGCGGGTTTCTCCACTCACGCGCGTCGTTATCAACAAGTGATTCCCCACAAACGCGAGACAGTCGACGCACCATACGATCCACGGTGTCGCGTTGCGGTGTCGCACGCCGCACGACGCTACGCACCTCCTCACGGCGTTGTTATTGTTGCGTAACTGGCGGGTCCCGTGTAGCTGGCTGGCTCTCCGGCCGTGCCACGAGACAGAGCGTATGGAGTAGGGGCGAGGAGAGAGGAGAGGGGAGGATTGGAGAGGGCCGAGGAGCGGGGTAGCCCCGTGGGTGAGCCAGTGGGCGAATACGCAATGAGAGAGAGAGAGAGAGAGAGTATGTGTGCGAGCGGTGCGCCGTCTGGCGTAGCTGGCGACAGTCTACTGCCTTCCGAGAACACCACGAGGCGATTCCGTGTATCGAACGCGCACCGAGGGACGTCGACGATGGTGATGAGAGAGGAGAGAGGAGAGGGGAGATCGGCGCGCGATCCTGGTAGGGAGAGCGTGAGGGACGAAGGGACGACGGGGCGAGCAACATGAGAAAGCCCGAGCGACCCCGAAAGCGAGAGGGAGAGAGAAGGAAGATGAAGTAGAGTGAGAGAAACGGAGCGGGAGAACTCATCGTCAGACACGAGGCTCTCCTCAGGGACGCAGATATGTCCGCGCATTCTCTTACGTTTGCGGAGAGAGGAGAGAGGAGAGAGGAGAGGGGAGATCGGCGCGCGATCCTGGTAGGGAGAGCGTGAGGGAGCGTGAGGGACGAAGGGACGACGGGACGAGCAACATGAGAAAGCCCGAGCGACCCCGAAAGCGAGAGGGAGAGAGAAGGAAGATGAAGTAGAGTGAGAGAAACGGAGCGGGAGAACTCATCGTCAGACACGAGGCTCTCCTCAGGGACGCAGATATGTCCGCGCATTCTCTTACGTTTGCGTGCATCGCAGAAAGAGTGAGAGATAGGAGGGGGCAGAGAGAATCGGCTCGCTACACGTCATATTGAAAGACGATAATGAGGGTTTTAACCATGGCCTTGCTATCACCGACATTGCGCGTAAAATGGAAAATCTGCCGCGAAATTACGGTCGACGTGAGCGCTGAGACCCTGAGACTTACGTCAGATTTACGTTGTATTTCTTTCTTCTTTCTGTTGTCGTTCATCGCGGTCGACACACGGTCGAAGACGATCGAGCCGAGCGCTTGAATGAGCAATAACAACCCTCTGTAACGCGCGAGTCGTTAATCGAAATCGATTTTATTTCTTCAAATAGTCGGTTAGTCAAGAGTGTGTTTCGTTAAATTAGCGTTACACTGCTCTGTGAGGAACGAAAATAAATCAATCGAGCGTTATTTTTGAGAGAATGCTCTTTTTTTTCTGATTAATTCACGATTCTTCAGGTGCCTTCACCCAGGAACCACGTGTACATAAGCTAAATCCAACCTGTTTCCGCAGCGCGCGCCTTGCGGTGTAACATTACCTGTTTGTAAAATGTCTTTCCGCCTCCTTCCCTTGAAACTCCATTCAAAGAGAGTCGAGATTAGCGATCGCGGTCGATTTCCAATTTTAATCATCGCTAGATCCTCCACTCCGTGGCTAGCAATCAACATTGGTGGATTAGAACAAGAGAGAGAGAGAGAGAGAGAGAGAGAGAGAGAGAGAGAGAGAGCTTTTTAGAGATATTCAACTGTTTGGCGAGGGCACCCAAACAAATTCAAAACGAGAAAAACAGGGATCTTGGACAATTATCTGTCTTATCTATTCCGGATCGCCAACAGTCAAGAACACAGAGACAGAGTATCTTTTCTTCCCGTCTCTTCGCCGTCGTCTCGGTTATGTTTCATCATTCCCGCTTAAAGACTTTTACCGGGAAGAGATCCCACTGTTATCTCTGCCAGATACTTGTAATTTTCTCACACGTCTGCCAGTCCCGGAAGGATGGTTCACCTTCAGGGAATTGACCTCGGGTATTTTCTAAATCTTTCTTCGGAGAAAAATGTACTGAATGAAAAAAATTAATATAATTTTTGAGAATGGCTTTCTTCTAAGAATTTCTCTCTTTGTATCTTAGTTCTCTATTTTTTCAATACTCCACAGGGAATTTTCTAACAATGAGTCTTTAAATAATTTTGCCGTTGTAAATAGTTCTAGAAATATATAAGATTTTTTATATGGTCGCTTTTTGAACAGAAACTTTCGCTTATTCACAAATATGTATCCTTTATTTATAATATCTTGTCTGATCTTCGTCAAAAAAAAATGCATTAAGTACACTCACTAAATTTAGAATTAAATACTCTAGCTTGTAATTAAAGTATAACGTTGCTCGTATCTATGCGATTATGTCGGTTCTGCTCCGTCAGTGCCTCTAACGGTATTTATAATAATACGGTAGTCATAAAATTATTCGGTAGCATACTATCCGGCGATATCATCTGTGAATTTTCGTTCGATCTTCGTTGTAATTAACGGTTAATATGGTACACGATTTATCATTCAAGGACAATCACGCGGATAATTAACGATTTTATTGCACAGAGCACGAAAGAGCCTTCGTCACTCATTGCGAACGTTGGTCGATCGTATCTCGAAACACCGTCGTTCTCATGCTCACGCACAATTCCGATCGTGGGCGTTTAATTACGTAATATCGTGTATGCAACAAGTTACTTTCATTAATTGGACGTAGCAAGAAGACAGCAAGTATCAATATAAAATTAACCCATGTCCACTTTCACGCTTTTAGATATTCAGATAGCATAATATGTATTTACGATTAGTGATACAGACAAATTGAATTATGAAAAAACATGTGTGCACGTGTATTATTTAAGAAAAAATTATAATTGCCATTTTTTAGTAAAGTTCTCTTATTACACACGTATACAGGGTTTTGTTTATTTCTAACGTATTTATTTTGGAAAAATAACACACAGCTCGTGATACGATTTCGATTATATCTATATCTGCGTGTGCAATCGGAAGTATGAACGACAAACGAGATTTTGCGAATATCGAGGCAAAAGTAAAAAGCGGATCGAACGAAATTTTGTCGAAAGTGAGCTTGACCCGATTGCATTTTGTAGCTCGTTTCGATCGATTCCGCGGTGAGCCGCGTCACGGAATGGGCGTGACAGGTTAACGAAATGCCGGATATGCAATACAAATACAATCTGTATGAATTTATCGAGCCGTTATCGGAGCGTCAATCGGCCCGGCCGGTCTTTAGGGTGCAGCGGATTGCACCGATGCAAACGTCCCTTTCGAGCGTGGCCGGCCGACGTGATTATTATTGAGCGACAACAAAGGCGCTCTAATTGGCACTGGGAGCGCAACGCGTGCTCGTTCAGGAGGAGGAGGAGAAGGAGGAGGAAGAGGTTGTTATCGCCAGCTCGCGGTAATTAAGGCGAAAGAATACAAATTGCGGCGGTTGTGAGCGCTATTAAACGCGAGTTCGGCGCTCGCGGATTGGCTCGTTTCGGCGAAACATTCCGATGCGCTGCCGCTTTCTCGCCAGCGCGTTTTCGCGAAAGGCTTTTAACGAGCTTCATTCATGATATTGCCGATCCGATGATACGCGCGTAACAGTCGAAGCATTTATCTACCCGAGTTCGATAGTTCGGAAGCTGGTTGTCGATGCAATATTTATTATTAGGAATAGAGATAGAATAAAATTAAAATAGAAATGAATAAAATGATATTGAAAAAGTCCAACGGAATGCAATATTTTTAAATTATATGTGTCAGTTAGTCAGTTGCAAAACGAGAAGATTGTACACAGGAGAATTAATATACTCATTCTTTTGCAAAATTATATATAATATTTTGAGATATGAGTATGCTTTGACATTTATAATCTTTTTTATTATGCAAAACTGCAGAGATAGTTACTTTCCGGAGATTTTTATTTCATTATATATTTAGCTCGAAAAAAAGTAAATGCGTCAGAAAATTAAACTGCATACGTATGACCTATTCCGGTTACATTTTTACACTTTAACGTATGTACGAGCGTTTTTTTTTTGTGCTTTTTTTCGACCTTTCTATTTGCTACACGTTTTTCTAGCACACGTGATACTATAACACGAGGAACACGTATGATGATCTAATTTATTCAGACATAAAAAAATAGATATAGTATAGAATTTATTTATATAAAATAATAACTAGATCAAATTATATAAAATGTATGTATACATTATAAGATAAACTCAAGAAAGATTTTTTTGCCAACAAAATTTTTAGTTCGTTTCTTTCTCAGATTTTTCATGCAGTTAGTCAGTAGCGTTCATTCTCTCACTTGCTCGTCTACTGCCTGCACTCACAATCAGTTTGTTATCGATTTGCATCTCGAGGTATTCTTAAATTGAAATATTATTTGAAACTACTTTAAGAAGGATCTTTTATTATTCATTCCAATCATTTATAACACACAGACCATTGATATCTCGATTATTACTTTCTGTTTGGTAAATATATTATTTTTCGAAAAATCTTGCGGATAACTTTTGACTATGTGAAGGATAGAAAATTTTGGATTT